CAGACATCCATTAAAATACACCCAAATTGGGGGCCAGCTGATTTGCATGGTGGTTAAATGTGGCCGGAACCCACATGGCCAACTGCACAGTTTGTCCTAGACCCAGGAGTTTGAAAAATAGGCCAGATGCAAGCACATACATGCCTAAAATCCCTAGAAAAGAATAGAGGAGAAGGGATTGCTAGGTGGTCATTTCCCCCAGGGGTACCTTCTCACTTTCCCTCTCCGAAAAAATAAAAACATGAAAAAGAAGTCATATGCTGTCTGGGATAGAGATTATGCTTTTCACAAAACTGTAAATTTCTTGGGGCCAGCAGTTACCGTAATGGCTATGTCGCTGAACTCCCACGTAGTCAACCATGGTTCGAGTCCCAGACCCGGTGGCTCAAACTCAACATTGGGCGCATGTGCGAGTGTGCCCAAGATCCTGAGAGGAGAATGGAGGGGAAGGGATTGCAGTGTGGCCATCCCCCCTGGGTGGGTGATTTTTTTGCTTTCTGTCTCTCTGTCTCTTTCTTTCTGGCAAGCGCACACGCCCTATAGAGAAAAAAAAAAAAAAACTCTAAAAAAATAACCTGTACATTTCTTTTTCTTAGTCTGTTACTTTAGATTATTTGCTGTCAGCCCTGACACAGTAGCAGAGGCTGCTAAGATACTGTGCTCTGCAAGGTGGGACCATATGGGGGGGGGTCCCTGATTTCATTCACCATGCAACCTGAAGGTTGGGTGTTGTGGTGTGTGCTGGTAGTCTAAGTCTGGAGACTTTAGGCAAGAGGATGGTGAAATGATAATACCTCATCTTAAAAAAAAATTGTTTGTTTCCTTAAAGTTTTTTCCTCAAAGTTTTGTGGGTTTTCATGTTTTATATAAACTCCACTTGGATGTTTGCTTGAAATTCTTCAGCTGTAGAGAGTTAACATGTCCAATGACTTTTGTACAGAGTACATATTTGGAATGCTATTTTGCTTCAAGAGCCTGGAAACTTACGCAGCACTCCCTGTTGTGCTTTTATAAGGCAAACTATGCCCGGTCAGGGCTGTAGCAGTGACTGCAGTGCATCTGTGTGTCTTCTGTGAGAATTGGCATAGAGGCAGGGACTCTTAAAGAAGAGCCATATGTTTACATGCAGCAAATAGGTTTGAATGCAGTCTCAGTTATACTGCTCACCCCCGGGTCCCATGCAGTGTTAGCACATTTTTAAAAAATAAAATACCATGTATTGTGACCAGCAGATGGCATAGTGGCTATGTTGCTGGACTCCCATGTAGCCGACCGCGGTTCAAGTCCCAGACCCAGTGGCTTAAACTCACACCGGGCACGTGTGCATGTGTGCCCGAGATCCCGAAAGGAGAATGGAGGAGAAGAGATTGCAGTATGGCCATCCCCCCCAGGTTGATTTCTCTCTTTCTGTCTCTCCGTCTCTCTCTGGCAAGCACATGTGCATCAGCACATCAGCAAAAACCTCTCCAAAAAAAAAAAATACTGTGTATTAACTAGACTTTTCCACTTGTGATTTTTCTCTTGCCCAAGTGCTTTCCTGTAGAGAAGTGCACCAGAAGATCAACCTGTTGAAATGTTATTAGTTTAGCACGGGGGGGGGGGGGAGGGCAGAGGGAGAAAAGGGAAAAAGAAGAGAGAAAAATAGCATATTATTATAAGTATTTCCAAAAGCAGTAGGACTACACTGATAACTAATCCCATTAAGAAGTTTATACGTTGCTCATATTAAGACGTTCTTTTGTTTGGTTTTTAGTTGCCAGAGGCATGTGTACTCTCTGGAGAGAGACAGAGAGAGAGAGAGGGAGAAGAGGGAGAAGATATCCTAGTGGGCTTCGGTCACATTGCCATGCCCTCTCCTCCATTTCTCCGTCATGTCAGTGCTTTGTGTTTGCACGCACACACGTCCAGTGTGTTTCTCAAGTCACCTGGTCCAGTATTTGAACCGCAGAAGGCTATGTGAACTTCGTCTCCCTCAACCACCAGGCCATGGAACCTAAATTAGACTATAAGTTCAAGGCCCAGGGGTACACATTGCAAAGAATAAAATACATCTGTGGCTGGGTAACGAAAATTCCTATGGCTTAAATCTAGAAATATACCTGTGTAAAAGTACACAGAATAACATTTGGGAAGTGCTCTGTGGAAGATCCAGAGTCTTGGAGAAGAGCATATCAAGTACGGGCCCTTCGGGATGAAGAAGTCAGGAAAGGCAGCGTGGGGAAGTGACTTTTGCACTAAGTCTCGGTGCATCTTTAGGTGTTTTGTAAAAAATATATAGCACATTAACACCTTGGAAGAGCTTGAGAATTAGTGTTAGAAAATAATTTATAAAATTATCTTTTGAGAGTTAAACTGGTGGTTAAGATGGCTGGATTCCACATAACCAACTGTGTGATTTGAGTCCTGGACCCAGTGACTTGAAAATATACTGGGTGCAAGTGTGTGTGTGCCCAAATCCCAAAAGGAGGACACAAAGATTGCTTCCATGACTACTCCCCACAGAGAGCGTTCAACTCCCTCTCTGGAGATCGTCCATGCCCCCTAGCAAAAAATATTAAGAAAGAGAATTAAAAATTATGTCATCACAGAAGAGAGGCAAAATATCTTTAGACCCAAAGGAAGAAATACCTACTTTACTGATAACAGCAACTTTGCTTAAATAACATATACTCCCCTCTCATGTCCCTCCACTCAAAAATAGTTCTCAACAGAAGGTGAACTGTATAGGAAATTGAGTACAGTGTGGCTCTAGCCTTTCCCAGGGAATGAGAAGCAGTTGCTGGAACTTGAATTTCTTTGTCATTAGAGACATGTCCACTGTTGTATCATGGATGCTTAATTTGGGCTGGAGTGAAATATGCTTTCAGTTACAAAAAATCTCTAGAACATAATATTAAAAGTATGGCCTCAGGATCTTAACTGGTCCAAATTTTGTTTCAGAACTTGCTAGCTCAGTGACGTGAGAAGATAGGAATCTTGGCTTCTTCATCAGTATAAAGAAACTAACATTCTCTGTCTGCTAAGGGTAATTGTGAAAATTTAATAAGAGTGTTAGAATAGTTTAATTCAGGGTCTGGTACATGTTACTCAACAAGCTGCAAATAAAATCTGCAATTTTGTACTCCCCAAGGAGTCTTAATCACTAATTTCTAAATATTTTAGTCAATTGAAACAAAGTCCTGAGAATGGAGACTTAAGTCTTCTAGGAACTGAATAGGATATCCCCATCTTAAATGAATATTTCTCATATAATGCTAGTAACCATCAGTCTGTCATTAAGTACCTGATCTATGTCAACCCAGTGCCCTAGTAGTTAAGGGAAATTCCACATGGCCAGTCAAGCAATTCCTGGCCCCAGTGGCTTGAAAAACACCAAGTTTGTGTGTCTATGTGCACCAAATCCCAACAGGATGTGGAGAGGAAAGAGTAGATTGTAGGATGTCCTTTGGGGGCTGCTTTCTCCATCTGTCTCTCCATCTCTGTCTCTGGCAAGCACATGTACCCTCTGGCATTTAGGAAAAAAAATAGAACATGATCATTTTGGGGATGTTTGGGGAAGCTGTTTGTAAACCTTCAGTAAGGCTAAAAACCCACTTTAGAAAACATGCCATTGATGAATAGTTAACCTGTGAGATTTCTTGGGGAGCATTAACTTTAATTGAGCATTTACTGTGGGCCAAGCACTCCACTAGTTGCTTTACTTGCAGTGTTGTCTAAGTGTCTGAAATGACTCTTGAAGGCAGGTCTCATACAATTCTGCAGTTTTACAAATGAGAAAATTGGGGTGAGATAGCTTACCTGTGACTGCACACGTAGATTGTTAAATGTTGAATCTAGGTCTGCTTGTCCCCTCAACCATTATGCCATATGCATAATATTCAAAATCAGGAGGGCCTGGTTTCAGATCCAGTCCCACTTCTTTCCAAGAAATAATCTCTGAGTCTCAGATTTTTCATCTGAAAACACAGTATGGGGGCCAGCCAGTGGCATGGTAGTTAAGGTAGCTGGATCCCACATGGCTGTCTGTACAGGTTCCAGACTCAGCAGACTAAGCCACTGGGGCCAGAAACAGTGCCACGCGACTATGTTCACACACCCAAAATCTCGAAAGAAATGGCAAAGAGGTTGCGACCAGATCATCGCCCAGGAGATGCTGTCTCACTTAACCTCTCTCTTTCTCTCTTTGGTGAGCACACATGCCCTCTAGCAAATAAAAAACAAAAACGAAAACAAACCACAGTGTGATTACCTCCATGGGTAGGCTTATTGTGAGGACCAGAAATAAGGTATATACAGTACTGTGCTCTGGTTTTGATGCCTAATTCTCAACAAGGGGTGATTGCTATTTTGAACCCTTTTGACTGCTTTTTACTTCCACCGCCCCCCACCCCTGCATGTGACCTCTGTGTCTTTTGCAGGTAAAAGTAAAAACCTGTACTTTGAACTGCATATACAGCCTGATGCACATTAGAATCACCTAGAGAACTTGAAAATATATCAGTGCCTGGCCCCTGTCCTCAGAGATTCAGATTTAGTGTGTTTAGAAAAGAATTTGGGCAGCCTCCCTAGGTAATTTTTTTGTTTATTTATTCATTTTTTTTCCATGTGCAAGAGAGTGACAGGCAGCATCCTCAGCCAGGTCATGACACCGTGTTCCACACCCAGCCAGCCCTAAGTCACGGGCACTTGTGTAACTGGCATACTCGGGAGGTGGCTGAGCTTGAGCTGGGAACCTCCGCACATGATGTGGCCTTGCAGAGCATTGTATTCCACTGAGTCACCCGATGTAACTGAGGAACAGCCATGCTTAAATTCTATTCAGGAGATAAGTAGGTGATCTTGGAATGAGGTTGGAAAGGGAAAAGAACCTCAGTCATTTCCTTCTCTCCCGTACTTACAGTGTTTACAGTAAAATGGGGTGAGAAAAGGCTCAAATCAGAGATCACCAAGAACCCACCAAGATTAGAAAAATGAAGCTTTTTTTCTTTTTGCCATTGTAGACATGGAAGGACTTTAACGAATCTCTAGATGGTTCAACAAAGGATGCTCTAATGGATGACAGCGATACTCCTACAAATAATCTGCAGATTGAACCGCAAGATGGATGTCATCCTGGTGACGGTGAGGAAAGGAGAATAACACGCTTGCCTTCCGTATCAGATGAAAATGAAAATCAACTTGATGGGGATGAGCTCGAGCATCTGACCAGCAGTGACAGTGCAATGGGAAAATCCGAAGTGTTTGAGCAGGACAGTCTCAACAATAATGAAAGCTGCACGTTAAGTTGTGAGGTAGCTGCAAGTGAGAACTCAGAAAACACACCTTATGAAGGCCCCACCGATGGACAGGCCTCCTTGGGAAAAGACAAAAAAATACTTGGAAAAAGAAGTTCAAGAAGCAAAAAAGGTACTGCTAAGAAGATAACACCAGGTATTTTTTTAAATTATCTATATTATTCTTTAGTTAATTAAAAATCAACCACCTTCCTATCTCATACCATGTACGCTGTTCTGCATCTTTCTTTTCTTCTCCATATATCCTGGAGCTCGTTCCACAGTAACACAGGTGGATCCAACTGTGTGGTGTTCCACACGTGTGACGTGTCTCCCTATGTTCCGTTACATGACTGTATTATACTTTATTTAACTACCTTCTTAAGGCTGTTCCCAGTGTTTTACTGTAATAGACATTGCTGATAATGCCACCGTTTATACACGTTTTCACATTGGATACTTTAAATACATAGTTTCTGTCCTTTATAAATTAAATAATTTTCTACCAGTATCCTTGGCTGAAAAATTTCCTTCTTTCATCACTGTGGTTTTGATCTCTAACCTGTGAGTTTATGTGATAGTAGGACTTCGTTAGAGGCTCTTTCCAGCTCACTCAGTAAGTGAATAATATACATTAGCATACATCTTATATCAGTGTTAAATGAGACATCTGATTTTAATGATCTGTATAACTCTGATTACGAAATAATTCAGAGTATATATTGTTTATTATATAGTTTGCTAGTTCAGATTTAGAGCTGTGGACTTTTTTACCTGGATCATAAGGGACCTTTGGGAAAAGACTGCCTCTGGTTATTTTTGATGTGAAACTAGAAATTCTAGACTGCAGTTCCTTACTGTGGTACTGCTTTACCCAAACCAGTAGCCTTGGTATAAGGCACTGGTGAACAAAGTGGAGTATCTCGTCTCCTCTACTGCTGTTTTCTATCAATACTTCTTTAGCTCATTAGAAATGTAGTCAGGGGACCAACAGGTGTCACGGTGGTTAAGGCACTAGAATCTATGGCCAACTATGATTCAAGTCTTGGACCTGGCAGCTAGCTTTCTCACTTTCTTCTCTTTCTCTGTCTCTGTTTCTCTATCTCTGGTGAGCACATAAGCCTGATAGAAAATTAATATAAAATAATAATAATAATAATAAATCAAATTGGGGCCAGCAGGTAGTGTAGTGGTTAAAGAGCTGGACTTCCATGTGGTCGACCACAGTTAGAGTCCCAGACCTGGTGGCTTGAAACTCACACTGGGTGCATGTGCATGCATGCCCAAAATCCTGAGAAGGGAATAGAGGAAAAGGGATAGCAGTGTGGTCATCCTCCCTCTAGGGTGATTTCTCGCCCTCTGTCTTTCCAGTGAGCGCACATGCCCTAAAGCAAAAGCCTTTCCAAAAAATAGGTAAGTAAATAAATACACAAATAAAATTAAATAAATAATTTTTAAGGAATTATTTTATTTAACTTTATTATTTTTAATTTGAACAGGGAAAGACAGAGCAAGAGAGACACAGATAGACAGAAAGAAGGCAAACCACCAGGTCCAGGACTTGAACCATGGTTGGCCATGTGGGAGTCTAGTACTTTTAACCACCACACTATCTGCTGGCCCCTAAATAAATAATTATTTTTAAAAAAGAAAAGAAAGAAATATAGTCAGGTCAGCAAGTAGCATGGAGGGTAGGGTACTGGATCCCACATGGTTGACTGCATGGTTCGAGTCCCAGACCTGGGAGCTTAAAATCACACTGGGCACATGTGCTGCGTGTGTGCCCAAAATCCCAAGAGGAGTTAAAGGAGAAAGTATTACGATGTGGCCATCTCAACAGGGGGTGATTTCTCACTTTCTCTTTCTCTCTCTCTCTCTCCATCTCTCTCTGGCATGCATATGCATACTATAGCAAAAAACTAAAAATAAAACTAAGAAATATAGTCAGTTTGAGCATATCCTAGTTTTTATTTTTAGTATTTTAATTTGGGATAAAACAAAACCTTTTTAATTTCTACAGTTTAAACTTTGTTTATTCAATAAAGTAATTGAAAATTTATCTATTTATTTATTTATTTTTATTTTTTACTCTTATTCACATGAGTTTTGCCAGAGAAAGACAGAGAGAGTGAGAGAGGGAGAGTTAGAAAGCAAGCCGCCAGGTCCAGGACTCGAACTGTAGTTGCCATGTGAGAATTCCAGCACCTTAACCACCACGCCACCTGCTGGTCGCATAATTGAAAATTTTTAAGTAACTTATAATTTGTTTTTCCAATTAATGTAACTCATAATTAGACTTTTAATATCCTTTTGTCTTTTCCTTAGTAGACTTAAAATCAAATGTTTTTTGACAAGTGATATGAAAGAATTTTCTTAAGAGATTTAAGGAGGGATCAGCACATGGTGTGGCCGTTACATTGCTGGTTTCCCACATAACTTACTGTGGTTTGATCCTGGACCCGGTGGTTTCAAAATCAGCCAGGTGTGTGTGTATGTGTGTGTGCCCAAGATCCCAGGAGGAGAATGGAGGAGAAGGGATTGCAGCATAGCCATCCCTCCTGCCCATGTGGGGGATGTTACCTGTCACTGTGTAGGACCAGCAGGTAATATAGTGGTTAAGGTGCTAGACTCCCACATGGTTAACGGTAGTTTGAGTCCCAGACCATGGAGGCTTGAAATGAAGGCAGGGCATCCACTTGCTCACACGTGCTTGTGTGTGTTGTGTGTGTGCATGCACACGTGCACATGCCCAAATCCCAAGAGGAAAATGGAGACTGGATTGCGGTGTAGCTGTTCTCCATGGGGGTTGGTTTCTCTCTTTCTCTCTCTGTGTCTTCAGTGAGCACATGCACCCTATAGCAAAAGTCTCTTTAAAAAAGAAAAAAAGGTTTAAGGGTAAAGTCTTATATGTAACGTGTGTAAACTGCTTTAGTCTTTATGTTTTCTTTTTTGTTTCTTGTTTGTTTATCTCCCTAGTTTGCTATAGTGTGCATGCACTTGCTGGAGAGAAACAGAGAGAGAGGGAAAGTGAGACATCACCCCTCATGGTGATTTTGCCACAATGCCTTCTCCATTTTCCTCCTGGGACTTTGGACATGCACACACACACACATCTGGCATGAGTTTCAAGCTGTTGGGTCTTGCACTCGGACTGAAGCCTGCCATGTGGGAGTCCAGTGCCCTAGCCACCTCGCCACCTGCTAGCCCCACAAGAAGTCTTAAAAAGTTTATAAAAACACATACTATGAAAAACCTCATGGATTTCAGTATTTTGGAACCAGAATAGACTTTTACTTTAATTCCATTTTCCATAACCTTTTTGAAGTACCCTTGTATAATTTTTAGATAAGTTTTTATTAATTTTCTTTATTTATTCGTTTATTTTAATTTGACCAGAGAGAGAGAGTGAGAAAGTGAGAAAGCCAGCCACCAGGTCCAGGACTCAAACCTTGGTTGCCCATGTGGGAGTGTTTAGCACCTTAATCACCATGCCACCCACTGGTCTCAGAGTACCCTTCTTTATTTTCTGTCTTGTTTCCTCTCTCTGTGTCAAAACTAACAATACAAAGAGCTTATGCATAGGAGCCTAGGTTTGGCCATATTTTGTTTTCCTTTCTCCTTTTAAATACGCACATCTTAAGTAAATAAAATTTCCTAATTTTGAAGATGAATCCTTTTAGAGGTGTTTGCTATAGGGTGCATGCGCTCGCCAGAAGGACAGAGAGACACAGAGAGATAGAAAGCGAGAAATCACCACCACCACCACCCCCAATGGGGGATGGCCATGCCGCAATCCCTTCTCTATTCTCCTCTCGGGATCTTAGGCACGCACACACTCGCACCCGGTGTGAGTTTAAGCCACCAGGCCCGGGACTCGAACCATGGTCGACGACATGGGAGTTCAGCGACATAGCCATTATGCTAACTGCTGGTCCCAAGATGAATACTTTTTCAGTAATAGAATAGCTTCCCAAATGTGAAATGACATATAAAACATATTCAGTTCCAAACCAGGGATAGTTTTTTGAAGGTAGGTGTTCTCAAAACAGTGTTTTGGAAGCATAAATTAAATTTATTCACTCATGTCTCCTTACCTAGTTTAATTTGCAGTAATTTTTTATAGGTCCAGGATTATATGGTACCTTTATGTTTAACTTTCTGAGTACCTGCCAGACTGTTTCCCAGAGTGGCTACACTATTTTATATTCTCACTGGCAGTGTATGAGGGTTACAGTTTGTTCACATCGTGTTTACTATAGCCACAGTGTTTTTTTTATTGAGATGTAACTCATATACCATAAAAATCACCTTTTTAAAGTGTATAATTTAGTAGTTTGGGTATAGTCGTCACCACCTCCACTATCTAATTCCCCTAAAAGGAAACAGGTACCCATTAACAGTTACTCCCCATTTCTTCCTCTCCAGCTTCTGGGAACTGCTAGCCTATAAATTTTATATGGTTGTAAGAAAACACCTCAGATTAAATGTCTGACGATAGCCATAACAACATTAGTTATTTACTTGACACCAGTCACCATAGTTTCTAGGATTTTGACAAACAGTTCAGCAAATGGCGGGAAGCCAGATAGGAAGCACGTGGAATTCGAGACAGGAAGACCCTTCTAAATGGTCTTGCCACTGCTCAGTGCCCTGACACGTTCCACTGGAGACGTTCCCAATATGGTCAGCTAGAACATGACAAGGAGAGCAGAAAGCTAAAGGAAAAGAAATCTTGGAAATGAATCTGTGGCCTGGAGTCAAGCTGTGTAGTGAGAAGAACAAAGACTGTGTTGGAATCTTGGCACTACTTGTTCCCACCTATGTGATCTTAGGAAAGGAATTCATTTCCCTGAACCCTTTCTTTGTCTGGAAGGAAGACTAACACTACTTTTCTTGCAGGATTGGCCTTAAGTTGAGTGCTCTTGTATATAAAGCATTTTGTAAAGTATCCAGCATAAAATAGATGCTTCTAGGGGCCAGCAGGTGGCATGATGGTTAAGGTGCTATACTACCACATGGCCAACCATGGTTCAAGTCCTAGGCCTGGTGGCTTGCTTTCTCACTTTCTCTCTCTCTCTGTCTCTGGTAAGCATACATGCCCTATAGCAAACAATAATAAATAAAATAAAATAAATCATTTTTTAAAAGTGCATGCTT